CTAACTGTCGATAAGAACAAGACGATAACAAGGGGCTTATGACTGGCCATTGGTCCCACTGATAAGCCGAAAATGGCAGCTCGACCAATAATGTGAAACCACGACGAAATTTAGTTTAATGGGTCACGGTGTTAAGAAAAGAACCGATGATCTTCGCTGTCTTAATTTCTCTTTAACAGTTTCTTATCTAAGATTAACCGTTAATCATTCTTGCTTTAACGAAATTTCCTCTATTTTTACACCAACGATTTCTCGTGATTCTTCATTTTCTGCTGAATTATTTTCAATAATAAATCGTATAATTGTGAAGCTGATTCTTATATATTTATGTAATAATATCTTTTTCATAAAGTCGGTAGAATGTTCAATGATGCAGACTGGGTAAATTTTGATCCGGATTCTTTTATTTGAATATTACAATTGAAACGTCTCAGAAAAATGGCATATTCTTAGGTGATATATTCTTGCGAAGGAATTCGCCATTGCGATTTCAATAACTGCATAACAAAAGGGTTCCTTTTATTTTCCATATTACTGCTTTTTTGCTTACTTTAAGAAATAATCTCTCGACACTTGTTCAGGGAGTCCTTCATGTATCCAGTAGGGCAGTCCTTCCAAGGTGCGGTAATGATCTGAAGCACACCTTGTTTCAGTTGAGTATTTTTTGGCTCTGTGATCTCTACAGATCGGTCGTTGGCCGGTGACGCGTAGATCGCTGTTGCCATTAGAGACAACAGCACCAGCAACAAGTGTCCAAAGGAGATCCTCATTGTGCTCACTCAAAAATTCTCTATACTGAATCAAATTTCAAAATTAGTCCATGAAAATCATTCCTCATTGATCGTACTCAAAATATTCAAATATTTCTGCTCACTCGGAGAAAGTCGATTTTTCGAAAATACTTTTAAACAACGTATTTTTTCCTCGATCCCTTTAAAATTGATAATATCGTTAATCAATTTTTATATTTACCTTGTCGATTATTGTGGGATTGGACACTACAGACACTGACAGTCACTTGGACACGAATCGGATTCACTGAAGATTTAATTTTTCACTCGATCTTCACGGTGAGAGACAAATAGATCAGTTGAAACGATTAACTGACTGTTTATTGTAGTTGTTTTGATAGGCTTGAAATTTGTGAAATTTCGGTGATACGGACGCGTTCGACGAGACGCTTCCGCCGCGATCAATATGCATACTGCGAAGGCTAGCTGGTTACAGTCCCGCGCGATTAGTTATTCGAAGAAAGCGGGTCTGGAATCTCGCAGCAGGTTGCTCGTAATACGCCCGGGGATACTTCTGTGGTAATTTATTCTTAAACTGCCGAATATTTGTAGAATTTCTCGAATTCCAGAATCATCTGAATCTGAAGATTTAATTTTAGACTTCGTGTGGTTCTTGGAAGTCGCTGCTGTTTCACTGTTTCTTCAACCCTTATAATAGAAAATTCATTGATCTATGTTTACGATAAAGATTTTTATACTTTCTTTTATATAATTTATCATATTTATTATTGTGAAAACTATTTTTAAACTGCTGAATGTTTGTTGAATCACTCGAATTCCAGAATCATTTGAATCTGAAGACTCAATTTTAGACTTCGTACGATTCTTGGAAGTCGCTGCTGTTTCAGTTTCTTCAACCCTTATAATAGATAATTCATTGATAATTCACGATGTCCATTTTTATATTTTCTTCTGTATAATTTATCACATTCTCGTAAAAATTGGATAAAATTGCTTCGAATCTCCATTCAAAACTAGGTAAAAGAATTGTTACATGAAAATTAGATTTCAAAATTGAAAGATATGAGTGAAATATTCTTGGATTAAATACTAATATTATAATGTTATTAATAATAATAATTATTATCAATTATTAATTAACCGCAGAATATTTCACTCATATCTTTCAATTTTGAAATTTAATTTTCCTATAACAATTTTTCAATCTTTTGAACAGTGATTCGAATTCATTGTAATATTAATATTCAATCAATCCAAGAATATTACAATTACCAATATTAATATTATTAACAACATTGCAATATTAATATTTAATTAATCCAAGAATATTACAACTATTAACACCAACATTTAACAATACCTAACACTATCAACATCATCCCATCATCCCATCATCATTCAATTAACCGAATAACATCTCCCTTGCCTCCAAAAAACGCGAAAATAAAGAATCACTATCACATCGAGCCACTCATACAATAACGCAAACAGTAGATATATCGTCAAAAAAACAACACTATGAATCTAAGGGCTGATATTTACTGTACGTCATCTTTGCCAACAACGTCCCGCGTTCCCCTTCGAACGGTCATACGTCTGGTTTCGTTATCAGAGGATGCTCCCCGGGGGAAAAAGTCACCGGGCCACGGGAGAACCGGCGAAAGTTTCCAATTCACCGGCCCGGCGATAAAAGCAATTCCTTCAACAATGTTTTCCGGCGGTGCACGCCGTCCCAGACGCGAAATTCATGGAACTCGAAACTTTTCATCGCGTGCTGTATCTTACTGGGCCGAGTTTCGCTGCCTTTGAGGAATTCCCGTCCGTTCATTGTTGGGTTGCTTTTATTTCCCAGTAATCCCCTTGTTAAACTTCCTCTTTTCCTTCTTCTCCTCCCCCAGCTCTATAATTTTCGTTTCCCGACGGAAGGCTATCATAAAACTTCCCCCGGGCGTCCGTATCGAATTTTGAAGCACGCGAATCGACCTCCAGCCACGTGCCGGTAATATTCATAACCGCGATACCGAAGTTCATCAGGGTTCTTCTTCAATTAATATTCCCCCGATTTCGTATTCTTAGCAGTCGACCACGACTTTCAGTGTTTTTTAAACCGCCGCATACAAAGCAGCCAATTATTCGTCTCGGCACGTTTTACCTGAAATTTTCATTGAATATTTATTGGAATTATATTACGCGTTGCTCGAAACTTTTTGTGTAATTTTTTACCTTTTTGTGATGAATAAATAGTCGGTTCTATTAGACTGTGTTAGAAATATTTGGAAATCGTAGAGGAACTCCACCTTTCGAAAATTAACAAATTCTTACCTTTCTATGGTTTCTTTTCCGACTATGAAATAATTCATTGCAGGTGGAAAGAAAAAGTTAACCAGAAGTCTAGAAGGGTTGGCATTGTGAAGCTTTCAGGAAAATGGAAAAGGTAGCAGATCGGAACGAATCGTGCATAATTCAGTAGCGGGGCGTAATAAAATATTATGCATCCGTTATATTAGGTTGTAATGTAAATGCGATCGAATATAGTCAACGTTTTTTATAGGCAATTTCAAGCAGCCGTGAAATAACTGGATTTAAATGAATCAGAAATGCCCTCTTGTCACTTGCAATAAGTCATAATTAAATTCTTAGAACCAGAACGTATTCAAATTTGAACTTATTTACGTTACTATCTAACATATTAACCCTTTACATTCTGTAGGCTCCACTACGACACCATTTATAGCATAAAGTATTTCAATGAATCAATTCAAAGAAACTACCTCAAAATTATTGGATTTTCTACACATCCAAATTTTGTATTAATAAGGAAAATAAAAAGATCTAAGAAATGTCATAATATAATATTTTCAATTTTCGCTACGGGTGTCATAAAAATGGCTTTGAGTTTGTTGATTGATTACAAAATCGTCTGGAATGCTAAGGGTTGACAGATACGAGACCTGTAACATAGTCCCATCTCATTTCTGGCTTTCTCAGAATGATGATTGTAATATAGTCCTACGCCAATTTATATTTCTTATAAGGAGAGCGCCAGACGGAAAAATCTGTTTTTGAATGAAACCCTATGCATATCATAATACATATCTAGAAATGAAAAACCCTTATGGCGTTTCTGACCTGCGATCGATCTAACTACTTTATTATTAATAATTAATGAAAATAAGAGAAAGTCCCAGTCCTATTCGGTCAACGTAACGTACAATCACTGATAACAGAGGAATAATATGTAATTTACATTCAAACAAATTCGATAATATTTACGTTTGTTAACACTAAAACTACAAGACAGGTCTAAATGATCTATTCCTGATTTCTCCTTTCACAATCATTGAGAAGGTACAAACATTTTTCAGAGAAATGAATAATAATCTGATTTATTAATGCGCGAACTAAAATGCAATCCAATGGTGATATCAATAAATGCACTCTTATAATATCTCCAGAAGAATAAAAGGAAGTCAATTCGACTGCTCGGTAGTTTTAGTACTAAATTCCATTGGTAACCTTCGCCACGAGACCGACACGATGTTGTAGGGCAAGGGGTTAATCGAGGCCCTAAAGTGCACACAGTCCTGTCCGCCACGCTTCACGGACGCGACCCGCGAAAAACACGGCGGATCCAGTTGATTCTAATAAAATCAGCCGGAATACGGAGGCATGCGCCCTACGCGGGCTCTCGCGTACGTACGAAGGGGTAGCAAGCTTCAACCCTCAGTCTGGCGCCGCGTGCGAGCGCGAGTCGACGAACGGCGCTCGCCCCCCTCCATTCCGGGGAAAGACCGGAACACGTTCCCCCTGTCGCGATCTTTGACCGTCGGGCACAATGATCCGCGTGAGGATGAACGCTCAGACAAGATCCGATGATCCCACTTGAACGGTCAGCCCGAACTGATCGTCATCCCCAAATCAGCACTGACCAAGTGCGCCTCCGGAGATGAACATTCAGCTCGTAACCGCGTGCTCCCCTCCGATCCTTGCAGACAAGTGTATCCCCCAGGTGCCGAGACTGCCGCGAGAAAGTTTCGCGTGGCCAAAGACAGTCCAGGTGATAAGATGTGACCGGGGCGCAGATTAGTGGGCGTGAGGTCGCTGGATCCGTGGTAGGACACCGACAGTGTGCCGGCGATGCCGGAGCAGTGTGACTCGACGTTCCGTCCAGGACCGGTCCTGGCCGCGACCACGTGACCGTAGGACCCAGAGAGGACCCGTAGCCCTCCGAACGGCAGAACCCCTAAGATGAGTGTCCTGGTCGGCTGGTACGTCCTCGTTCTGGCGACGTGCACGCAGAGGCCCGTGCTGGCTGGGTTCGGGAGCCAGGAAGCGCAGATAGAGAGGCCTAAAGAGCTGCTGCGCCATCAGCAGAACCACAGGCCTTCGTTCATTGATAGAAAGCTAGAGAACAAAGAGGACGCCGAGCCTGTTTTGCACCTGGACGATCAGGCTGATGGGTTTTCCAGCGGGGATGGCGACGACAATGAACTGATCCGCAAGTTGAAACCGGAGACCAGCATCGAGAAGCCTGCCACGCAGATTAGACACAGCAGATCGAGAAACCACTTTGCTAGACAGGTGAAGCTTGATGATCCGGAGCTAGCTTATGCCAGTGGGTCTGGCAAAAGAGTCCAGCTGACGGACAACGTGTCCCGGAGTGAGGACAGCTTGAAGCTAGCTAAAGGCAAGGGTTCCGGGGTTGATGAATCTGGACAAGATGCTAGGTCCAGCGGTACGATTGACGAGAGGTCAACCGTGGAACTGGACAAACTGCTCACTAGGCTGTCCGAAGCTGGATCTGATCGCAGGAAGGAGGGCAAGGCGAGGAACTCGCCGTCGGTCCGTCACAGGAACAACTCGTTCAACAAGCTAAAAAAGGTGATGGCGAAGAACAGGGATAGGATGTTCAGCAATCGTACTGCGGGCAACCTGACGGAGATTTATGGTCATATTGTTCATGGGACCCAGACCGGAGACAGGAATGATTTAGACGGCGTGGAAATGGAGATCCTGGAGGACTATGATGTGTACAGTGACAACGAGAGTGGTAGGAACAGTTCCGAGCGCGAGGATGATTACGAGGATTACGGGAGGACGATGGTAGACCAGGCGAAGTCGGGCAAGGAAGGTGTCCACGTGGACATCGTGACGAGGTTCTTGAGGATCATCGAGAACCAGCATCTCCTAGGCGAGAACTGCACCGCTGGAACGGATTTGAACCTCGGCGAGGGTGTCGTCGATCAGTATGCCCAGGAGAAGTTCCGGCTAGAGGCGAATTTAGCCGTGAACAGGGCGAACATGCTGACCAGGCTCTGGAAATACGCGCCCGACGTGATGCTGTCCTCGGAGTACCTGCTGCACGCGAGCGTGCTCTCGATGGTCGAGTTCGACGAGGACATATTCGCTGCCGGGAACTGCTACGATAAGCTTCAGTACAAGGATCGCTGGCTCTACTGCCCGTTTGCCCATCGGTTGCAGGATCAGGACGGGATACTCGTCAAGGACCTCGCCATCGAGTACAAGTATCTCAGCAACAGCAGCGAGTGGTTCTATATAGCAAGGAAGAACGCGGAGAAGGTGATCGCGAACAACGAACAGTTCAGTCGCGGTGAGTTTCGTTAGGGTGCTAAGTACGCAGATGATTCGTACCGGTTCCTTATTTACCTCCGACTTCAAACGAAAACTATTGTCATTATCTACGACAGCGTTTCTTACATCCGTAACCGCTGTAATTCCTGCGGTACACCCTTTATACAAGGGGTATTTCAACAATTATCTTTGCGGCGAGGGGAACAGGGATCGTCAATTCATCTCGTTTGTTTATTTCCGTCTCCAGGGAGCTCGAAAAAGGAGTCTTTGAAGCGCGGCGAATAAGAATTCCCATCTCGTCGAGTTTATCCCACCGCTCTTTCGATATTATCGCCCTGGGGATGGAGTGGATGAAAAGAACTTCATTAAGGGTGGAGCCTCTCTGCCATGAAACCGCTGCCGGTTCAACTTAGAAGCGTTCACGCTGAATTATGGAAAGCAAGGGGAAACCGTATCGAACCCGAATAATTGCTTTCCAGCTCGACTGCACGCGAAAAACTGCGGTGCTCTGCGACCATCGGGAATCAGGATGCTCCCGTAAATTCCCGCCGGTTTTTCGAGTGATACTCTAGACGGTATTCAATCCTTTGCACTCGAAAGCTATTCACTAGGAATATTCATCGTTTTCTAACGAGTTACAGACGAGACTTTCTAGAATTAACTTAAAGGGTTGAATTAACCTCTTAGTTTATATTAAAAGTAATCAATGAAGGTCTTTAATTGTTTTTCAGCTTATTTTATATTTCATCCTGCTTATAACTTTATAAGTCTTTAGATATGTAATGAATTGATAAAAGTCAATAATCAATTCGAACCGGTCTGCTGGGAATAGGACCAATTAATTTTATTGTTAATAAACATAGTTATTTGCTAGTTTTTCTATATTTCCGTATATTATTTCCGATTCAAGCATATATTCACTATACCGTGAAATACAAACGCCAAAACCAGTCGATTTGATGGGTTAGACGCAGCGAGCGCTGAATTTCTTTCCCGTTTTCATGGGAAATTGTTCTTCGAGGTCTATTGTTGCTCTTTCATAAAACTTCGATTCGCGTTAATGCATAAATGCATAATATCCAGAGCCCGATGATAAAGTTTCTGCATCGCGCTCGAGTCAACCGTTTGTCCGACTTTCGTGGGAACTTCGGCCGGCAGTTTACTTTTGTTTTTAATCGTATTCTTTCTCGCTGTCGAGACGAGTAAGTTATTAATTAATCATACACGACTCGTAAAAGTTTCTTTTTTTAACTTGCACGCACGTTGCTTTATTACACAGGATGCCCATTTTCATTTAACCTGTTAACTGTGGAATTTGGTTACAAAAATTTCTCGTTTTGCGCGCAATAAAATCGTAAAATGAAGCGCGCAAGTTATTTTTATGAGAAACCAAAGTAAAACAAAGAAGAATTACATGTTTATCCGAAAAAATAAATAATCTGTAGCATTTCAAGCTTTAAGGCGACGTGTGTATACATGAAACGCAGTTAACTCGTTAATTCGAAGCATTTTTGGTATTTCTATTCGAAACCCTGCACGAGAATTTCGAAAAGACTGCTTTTTACTTATCTTTGTAGATTGATATTCTAGAAACATTAAAAAACAAGTTTCGTTGGAAAATTTACTAAATTGACAAAATTATGGTACTTTGAAGCTGGCAATATAGATGCTATTGTAAAAAATCCTTTTACCTTTGCTTACATCGAACGCGATAATTCGAACAGCGTTCAACTAATCGATTTAAAATTTTGCACACAGGTTCCCAATAATACTTCACAATAACCAACGAAGCCTTTTATCAGCTGAAATTTCCATTGATTAATGACAACGAAATAAATGAGACTTTTTTACGCGAAAATCGTGACTGTTGCAAATTCCACAAATGCGCTTACAACTTTTGAAAAGAGAAATAAAAAATATCAAATAAAAAATTACGATCGAATCGTTGCGTCATAAAACATTCCATAAGCTGGCCCATTTTCCAAGGTTCTGAACGATTAATTCAGTCGTTAATTCTCATGATATTAATGCGATACTTATTCGAATAGTGGAACAAGGATGTTTCCGGGGGAATTACCGCGAGAATCCCATTCCGCGCGAGTATTATCGTTCCCCGCAAGTGCTATCTTATAGATTTCTTCGCGTGCACGAGCGAAATAGGTGAACCGTTGAACGAACATAATTCGAATTAAATGAGAA